ATAAGAAAAGAGATCAGGACCAAGGAATCAATCAGGATGTGTCTTGTGAGCACAAGTACTTAGCAGCAGCCTCTACTTACTCTGAGTTTCCCTTATCAGTAAAAATCAGGTCTCATCATCAGCTTGTGCTGGGACTCAGGGATGTCAGAGGGCAGGTTCACTTCTTGGAATACAGGCAGCAATTGCTGGATTCAATTTGTACACACACCAGGAAGAACTGCACCTTGAGTGAGCTTCTACTCTCTGCTATTGAAAACTGCCTGGTTTTGCATTCACTGCAAGAGAAGATTGGACAGGAGTTTTTCACAGGAAAAAACATGTTTATTCTTCTCTAGTTATTGTGCAGGAGACATTTGTAGAGAGGGACACAGGGAATGGCACTGCATATCCTGCCACCAAAACCGGCAGGAAATCAGGTCAATTTATTCTTCCAAATGTTTGACTTCACCTCCCTGTAAGAAAAAGACCCCAAAATCTACCCACCACAAAAACCAAACAATAATACCAATAGTCATAAAAAAGGCTACACTTGCTTTGAAAGCTGCAAAGAGGCTTCTCATGCACAGCAGACAATGTGCAAAGTGAATGGGTGAGAACAGCGAGTGAGAGACTCTAGAGCCTGTAGGTCTTGACCTTATGGCAGTGTGCCATATAAGTGAGTTTTTCTACTTGTGATAAAACTTCAAAATTCCATAAACTATGCTGAAGACTTCTGGCAACAGTGAGTAATTAACCACAACTGCTTTACTATTTTTGAAGACCATTGCTTTTTGCTTTGGAAACAATGCCAATGGTACCAGGTCTCAAGGAATTTTCAAAACCACACTCTATGTGAAACTTTTGTGTGCTGGTTAGTATTAAATGGCACGGGATGAATGGAGACTGTCAGATGAACTAGTATAGATTCTGGGAGCAATTTCAGCCAGTTCTTCTAGACAATCATTTTTTTGACCATCACTTCTCACATTAATAATAAAACACAATCCTTTGTCCAAGCAGGAAAACAAGCTACAGGTTTAGCACAATACACATGACAAAGGCTATCTTTGTGTGGAGACGTGTTAAATAATTACTAGGAGACAGACAGCATTATCCTGATAAATTCATTGATGGTGCAATAGAGAAGGACACTTGGCTCAGAAACAGTGACTTAAAAAAAATAAATACATAAAACATAAAATACATCACTTCAGGTTAGAGATTATTTTGGGCATCAGTTAGTGACATTGAAGGTTAAATATAAAGTGCATATATATATTACAAAAAGATATGACAAAGGCTTTTACATTTTAAGTATTTTTTTAATAAATTATGAGCACGTATTTACAGGCAGCAGTAGAGGTAAGGTGTGTAGCCCTACCAAAAGATCCTCTTGAACACTTCCTGCAGTGCAGCTGCAAATAACAGAAGTAGTTGTGTGAGTGGAAGTAAATTCCTACATGGTATGTGCAGCAATAAGGAAAGATCTCAAGTTCCCCATAGGCTAAGGGCTTCTCTAAAAATCTTGAGGAAGTCTCTGACACACAGACTCTTGCACATAAGGGGGAACTTCAGACATCTGCCAGAATGGCAACACAACAATTCAAGCAGTCAGGAAGATTTCTGGACAGTGTCAGGGACAGCTTCTTCTACAGCCTATTGGATGTGCCATCAAAGGCTGATGCGTGTCATTATCTGCTGCTCGCTGACAGAGGAGGACTGGATGGAGATGTGGTCCCAAATGTCTGCCCTGGTTATAGTGACCAGGAAACAGCTGCAGATACTGAGAAAAGTGTGGAAGGTAAACATCAGGCTTTTGGAGATTTCCACTTATTCAGGAAGACAATAGGCAGGATCTCATGGGAGACAGTTCCAAAGAGGAAAGGAGCTCGAGGGAACCATCAGGCCTCTAAGGACGACTTTTCCCAAGCGTAAGCGTAGGCCATGCTGATGGTTAGGAAAACAGGCAAACAAATCAGAAGATCAGCTTGGCTAAGCAGTTGTCGATGCCCCATCACTGGGAGTGTTCAGGCTGGATGGGGCTTTGAGCAAACTAGTGAATGATGTCCTTGCCCATGGCAGGGGGATTAGACCACATAATCTTTAATTCAAGTTCGCAGATTGACACCAAGTTGTGGACAAACAGTCAATATACTAGCAGACTGGGCTGCAAGAGAGGCCAAGACAGCTTAAAATTAAGAAAGGGCAAATGTGAAGCTCTGGGAAAGAGGAACTACTTGCAATGATACAAACCAGGGGATGGCTGGCAGGGGAGCAGTTCTACTGAGAAGAAGCAGAGGCACATCAATAAGCAGCAAGTAGAACAGGACCCAGCAGTGTCTCCTGGCAGCAAAAGCAGCCAACAGCAACCTGGTGTGTATTAAGAGAAGTTTAGTAGATTGAGGGTAGTGATTATCCCCCTCTACTCAGCACACATTAGATTGCATTTAGAATACTACACCCAGTTTTTGACTCTGTCAAGAAAACAGAGATCAGTTCAATTGCAGCATGTTCAGTGAAGGGCTACCAAGATTGTCAGCACACTTGTACTGCAAGGAAGGAGAAACTGAAGGCACTGTACTTGTTGAAGCCTGGAGAAGAGTAGGCTTTGGGAGAGTACCTAACAGCAGCCTTCCCATACCTACTGATCATCAAGCTGATCATCAAGATGAGACAAATTCATGGTAGTTCCTGGTGGGGGAATGAGAGATAATGGGCTTAAGTTGAAACAAGAGGAAAGATGAAGCTCCTGATCTCTGGTTATCATTGTCAAACCTTCATGATTCTTTACACATACCAAGTTCAAAATCAACTGAAATGATTTTCAGCTTTCATGAACAACCAGCATGCAGAAGTAATGAGAAACAGTCCATAGCTTGATGTTCTGAAAACATTAATACATTTTCTCTTTGATTAGTTTTGAGCTTCATTATACATATGACCTCAGTTTTCAAGTTTTCGTTCCAGTGCAAGCACCCTAAAAACATATTCTTTAGAAATGAGTAGGTTTACATTCTCTAAGAATAATGTGAATCAGAAGACAAGATATAAAAAAGAACCTTAAAAGTAAAAATAAATATAAAAAGTTTTGGTAAAAAGACCCCACTGCTAAAAACCACAGCTTTGTTCCAATCATAGAATCATCAATGTTGGAGGAAAACTCTAAGATCATCAAGTCCAACCTGCCACTGTGCTGTAACCCCTAAACCCTAAACAATATAATTCAGCATCAGAAAATGCATCAACAAACTGAATTGTAGCTTTATCATAAAGTAATGGAGATTATCAGCTTGCCAGTTTTCTGCCAGTTACAGGAGACAGCTTTGTCTGGAGCATTGAGTTATGGTTGGAGAACCAGGACTAGAAGATGCAAACTTCCTTTCATCTGGATCTGCTGAAGGATGAACTGTCTTCTGACTGTAAAAAGATACTGGTCCAAAATTGCATAAAAAGCTTATCAGTTTTTGATTTATCTACATTCAAGCAAATGAATATGACTTTGTCAATATCTAAACATCAATTATAAAAAAGGCCTTAGCTCTTATATTTTATGTTAGTGGAGGACTGTTTGTTAAAACACAAAACAATCCAAAAGACTTTGGCCATGATTTGGCCTATTTATCTTCACACACTAACACTGTGTGAAGGAGGCTGTCCCTCCTGAGAAAAGAAAATTAGGCACCAGAAACAGCTCAGCTGCTCTTCAAAGTGCTTGTTTATGAAGCTCTGATGACTTCATTTCTCATGGAAGATCTTCCAGGGAAAACGTAGCAGCTCCTTCACCACTGAATTCTACCACTTCTCTTCCGTCTTTGTTTAGTCCACAAAGCAATTATTTCCTTATGATTTAAGATCTGAAACAAAAGAGTAAGAAAAGCACACAGGTAAATTACTATGCCTTGTCTTCTAGAAATTGAACTGCTTATATGAAAATACTGCAAGTTTTAAATACTAATAAAGTGTGAAGATGAATTAAGAAACTGTCACATGATTTACAGCAATCCAATTAGAGCAGCTACGTGACCCTGATAGCTACTAGATGTTTTATCCAGATTATCTGTTTATGATTAGACACATTCCTCTGCAACTGAAGCAGGTTCAAAACATTTATTATTGCCAGCCACTTGCTAAGCACCTGGCTACCTGTGAAGCTGTTCTGACTCCATGACTTTGGATCACATAACCAGGCAATTAAGACATCACTTGTATGTAAAGGTTATATGCCTATAATCTCAGTATCAGCTGTGCATCACACATGCATGTGATGCTGCTGCTTTTTTTCCCACACAGTTATGCTAGGCGTTTTTGGAGTTTTCTCTTTTGAGGATTTCAAATATAGGTCTTATCTGACAATCAAGGAAGCTGAAGGCAAAGAGAAGTTACAGTGCAGAAAGTTAGAATTCAACAAGTTCAAGACTAAGTGCCCAACCTAACTCACTGCACACAACATGCATCAACCTCTAACTAGGCTGATTTCCAATAAAGCACACACAAGCTCACCTACATCAGTGTGTCTATCTTGGTGCACACACCACAACTGTATAAGGGGAACCACCTGGATGTGCCAAGGCACTAACTATGTCCTTCAATTTTTGCTCCTATTTTGATAACACCACCATCCCTTTCACTAGTCTCTAGCTCAGCATCACTCCAGCCTAGGATAAGTTGTCAGGAGAAGGTCTAGGAGAGCAGCATATGGTGACATATGGTACTCATGACTGTAGACAATCAGAAAAAGAAAGATGCTCCTAGTCTGGTTCTCACAAGGTTCCTGGATAGGTCTGAAGTATTTTTATGATTTGCATGTTTAAAACCCAAGCAAATTTACTACTTTACCTACAGCTGACTATTGCCAGCTTGGTGGCAAGACTAAAGAATATGACTGAGAAGCCAGCCAGGGCACGTGTGGCTGTGCTACTTCCTTGTGTCTATGCAGTGAGAGGGTCTGAATATAAAATAGGGTTCTCTCATTTTATAGCTGTGGTGATAAGCATCAGGTTTCACATTCCTCACAGAACACGCAAAATGTTCTGTTCTCACACGGCTTGCAAACAGCACCAAAGCAAGCACAGCTACATCTGATGTCTTGGCATGATGTAACAACAGAACTATTTCAGATGCTAAACCTTTAAGTGTGATGTAGGAGCACAGCTGAGCCAAATATGTAGCCCATGCAAAGCACCATGTCATGTAGGCCAGGAACGATATGCTGACTTCATTTGGTCTTCAGTATTACTCCATGGTAACTCACAGGGTCTGACTCAGTTATTAGACACCACAGCTTCCTCTGCAGCTATACAGCCCTGTCTCAAGTCTGTTTCCTTGTTTCATAACAGTTTCATCAGCAGTTTTGTCTGCAGAACAGAGTCAGGTTTCTTAGACTCAGTCCTAACTCCCTCTCACCCTTCCACTCATCCATGTTTCCTCACATTGGGAGATATTTTTCCCCATATTTTCAGCGTTGTTTTCAGTAAATATCAGAATGTGATTGCTTGGCTGATCATTCAACAGAAGTATCAAAGCTGGAGGAACAAAAAACTCTGCAGCAGTAATGTGCCACTTCCACATTGCTGTGCATTTTGAGAATCTTTAAACAGCTTATCTGCATCAGCAATCTCCAAAGGGTGCGTGCACAAGGTTACCCACTGTGGTGCAGCAAAAAAAAGTTTTGCACCATTAACAAAATTTAAAAAAGAAAAGTACTGTTTACTTCATCCTTATCATTTGCTGATTTTTATTTTTGTGCATGTTTTATAACATATATAATGTATATAACACTTGAGTACAGTAGTAATCATATAGAATTTATAAATATACATAAATTGGGGGTGTATGTTCAAAGTATTTTACTGATGTGGTGCACAATCAAAAACGTTTGGGGATTGCTGATGGACAACACGGAAAGCAGAAACCAGTATATGATGTTCATAGTTAAATAAGGACTATATGACAGACAAAACAACATTTTTCCTTATCAGGAAAGGAAAATTGTTTACAGTCAATCTGCAAACCTCACTGCTTACCAAACAAAAATGCTTTGATACACAGTGGCTTATAGTACCCATTTTCAAAAAGTTTTTTGCATTTTATTTTAAAATATTGAAGTCAGATAAAAAAAATTCAAAGCAAGAAGTTTCTGGTGTCTCAGTTAATAAATCTAGAAACAAAACCAACCTCCAGTTGGAAAGCACCCATAAGGATCATCGAGTCCAACTCCCTGCTTCTCTTGGGACTACCTAAAACTAAACCATATGACTAAGAGAGCAATTACTACTCTAAGTTTAGCTTACAAAGCACCTGGTAGCATTGCAGAAAATCATGCTAAACACCTAGTTGTAGAAAATCCAAAGTTCCTATCTGTGAAACAGGAAGTTTCCAGACAGAATAGTTGAAGACATAGCATGGTGCTATATCTCAAAGTCGTCAGTCCTTGTGACAGCTAGGTGGTGAACATAGAAGTACCTTCCCCAAACTAGAAAATTCAATGGTAGCACGAAAAATCACCTGCCACCAATAATCATTAATTTCTCAATTGCCAAAGGATATAGTTGAAGTGTATGATCTGCTTAGAAATAATATCACTGGAGTTGTGTAAGATTTTTTTCAGAAGACCAACCCCTGATTCTAAGTAAAACTGCACATAAATATGTAATAAAACTTCCTCATTGCTGGTGTGTCTGCAAAGTTTAGACAGATTAAGATTATAATAAGAACCACTGCTGAACTTTGATACCAGCTTTGTCACTGCCTTACTGACAACTCAGCTACTATAACCCTTCATCACTTGTTTAGACATGGAATAAAGCCAAAGTGCAAACAAGAGCAAGAGGTGTGTTATTAATGCATGTTAGTAACAGTTTCAAACTCTGTGCAGCTGTGTCCAGCTCTGGGGCTCCCTACACAAGAAACATGTTGACCTGTTGGAATGAGTCCAAAGGAGGGCCACAAAAATGATCAAAGGGCTGGAGCACTTCTCCCATGAAGACAGGCTAAGAAAAAGTTGGGACTGTTCAGCCTGGAGAAGAGAAGGCTCTGGGGAGACCTTGTAGAAGCCTTCCAGTACCTAAAGATAGCCTATAAGAATGCTGGAGGACTTTTCACACAGGCACAGAGTGATAGGACAAGGGGGAATGGCCTTAAGCTGAAACAGAGTAGGTTTAGATTAAATATTAGGAAGAAATTCTTGCCCATAAGGGTGGAGAGGCACTGGAACAGGTTGCCCAGAGAGGCTGTGGGATGTCCCATCCCAAGAGGTGTTCAAGGCCATGTTAGATGGGGCTCTGAATAACCCATTTAGTGGAAGGTTCCCTGCCCATGGCAGCAAGGCTGAAACTAGATGATCTTTAAGGTCTCTTCCAACCCAAACCATTCTGTGATTCTTAAGTGGCTACATTGGCCAGTCTTCTGAACATTTCCATCACAAACATCTGATACCCTAGCACACCTCACACAAGCACATGCTCACCACACATATACCACTTCCCTCCACTCTTGTTTTCTACTTCAGTACAAAGGGTTCAGAGACAAGCCCAGCATTGCTACTCTTGAACTCTGTGCCACTCTCCCAAGACACAAGGAGCTTCACCCTCACATACCTTCTCTACTGCGGCTGGAATAGTTGTTCACATACTCCCCATTTCCACCTTTTGCATCCTGGGTCACTTCTGCAAGGACAAAGGCAATACTCAGACAACCCCAGACCTCACAACACACTACATCTCTGGCCCAGATGGATCAAGGATAATCTGACTGAGGTCTGGGCCATTTGTTTGGAGGCACTCAGCAGCTGTGGTGCCATCCATAACTTCATATCAAGAAGCATTACACAAAAGTCACAATTAACAAAGACTGCTCCACAGTACAGGCACTTACCTCCTTCATTTATGCCACTGTCATCTGCATGCTTGGTTTCTTGCAAGCTGCTGTTCTCCTTCTCAAAGGTGTCTGAAGAGAGATCAGAAGACAACTACAGTCCCCTGCCTTGCTCAGCTTCAAGGTGCGGCTTCATAGCTAAAGTCTGAGTAGCTAGTTAGAACTCAACATGTTGCCAACATCCATATCTGATGCCAAAAGGCCCACACCTTTCCCCAAGGACAGACCCCCAGCTCAGAACAGGCACTCACCTCCCTCAGTTACATCGTGGTCAACTGCACAGTTGGATGTCAGGGTGCTGTTCTGCATGGCAGAAGATTCTGAAAAAGAGATCACAGTAGAGCTACAGTTCTCAGGAATATCTCACTGCTTAACTTCACAGTGGTATCAGTCATTGCTTAGAGATGAGTAGTCAGCTACAATTCCTAAGACAAACAGAATCACTAAGGTTCACTTCAGGAGGGTGTGTAACCCAACATCATTATCAATGACAGTTCAACATTCAGTTCTAGACAGGTTTCTCAAGACTTTCTCCATTTTGGTCTTAAAAACCTCCAAGGGTCGAAACTCCATGATGACTCTGCTGACTGTCTTAGTGATAGTTATACTTAGAGGCAGAAATCTTTTCCTCATATCCACACAGAATCTCATCTGCTTTAATTTAGGACCATCACCTTGATACCCTGCTAATACACCTCAGTAAACATCGGCTCAGCCAATAGGTATTGGCAGCTGCTGTTAGGTACCCTGAAAGTCTGTTCTTCTCTGGGGTTGAACAAGCCAAATTTCTTCAGCCTCTCCTCAGAGGAGTTGTCCTCCTGCCCAGCCACATTGGTGACACTCTGCTAAACATGCTCAAATTTATCAGCACTCTTCCAGCACTGGTTGGGCCATAAACTAAATGCAATACTCCATATGTCATCTAACAAGTGCCAAGTAATGGGAAAAAAACTACTTTCTTCAATCCACTGGCTTAAGTACTCCTTAAAACAGCCTAGGATGCTCTCAGCCTTCTTTGCTGCCAGAGAGCACTGTTGACTCATAGTGTACTGTCCAAGAGGACTCCCAGGTACATTTCTGAAGAGCTGCTCCCTTGTCAGATAGTCCCCAGCCTGCATGACTGCAGGGTGTTGGTCCACCCAGGTGCAGGACCCTGCATGGTCACTGCAGAATTTCATGAGGTTCATGCAGGCATCTGCCCTGCTCCTTTACTGATTGTCTGCACTCCACATTTTGTTGTCATCTACAAACTCAGTGACATTGTTTTCGCTTCCTTGTCCAGGTCACAAAAAAATACAGACCTATGTGGTACTCCACTTACCACTGGCATCCATGTGGAGTACAGCCCATTAACCACTGTTAAACACAGTGGAGTGGCTAACCACAAGACTTGACAAACTGGCAATTTTTCTACCCACGTAGACAGACTCCTATCCAGACTAGGACATCCCATCTTAGGACTCCCAACAATGCTGGGGACACTGCATAAAAAGCCTTGCTAAAGTCAAGGTATATGACACCCATTATTTTCCCCTCATCTGCAGATCTAGTAATTTCATCCAAAAAAGGCTGACAACTTGGACAACTGTGATTTACACTTATTCCCCAATCACCAACTTTCTTCTGTGACCAGAAACATGTTGCACGAAGACTTGCCCCATGATTCTCCCAGGGATGAAAGTGAGCCTGACTGACCTTCATCATTAATGAAGATGTTAAAGAGGACTGGACCCAGTACTGAAGTACACCACTACATATTTGGCCTCTAACCACTGGACCCAGTACTATGGTACACCACTACATATTTGGCCTCTAACTAGACTTCATAGCAGTGATCACATCCCTCTGATCTCAGCCATCTGGCCAGTTTTCAGTCCACCTCACTGTCTGCTCATCTAGCCTATACTTATCAGCATTAGTGACCACTAAATCAATCCCCTGTTCAATAACAGCCCCACATTTTCCTTGTTTATTCTTTTACAAACAACCTAGCAGCAGAGGATGCTCTTATTGTCCTGTCCATCCCACAGTGGTTTCAAACCTCCCTGAGCCCAGGCTTTCCTGACATCATGCTTCCCTGTCCAGGCAGTGTTCCTAAATTGCTCTATTGTAGTCTGTTCCTCCCGCCACATCTAGTTTAAGGAATTTGAGCACTGGAACCCTG